AAACTATACTATAAACCCGTTGACAAAGTACATAATCGCTGCCAGTGGGAACCCTCCTTGGAAGATTGAACGACTTCAGCACAAACCCCCTTATCTCTCACAGTGCGGCGGCGGCGGCTTCATCATCACGACGGACATTGCAGATTAAAAAAACCGTTTCCCGATTGGTAAGGCTGTTCTGTTCTTGATTTCGATTGATGCATTTTCTACTTGAAATGCTTGGCTAGATTCCTAGTGTAATTGCTCCTTTCTATTGCCTATTCTCGATCTGCACAGGCGACCGCCTTTGCAGAACTTATTTTGTTCAAGGCGCAGTTTTCTGATTTTTTTCCTTCAATTGGCATGTGAATGGAATCCATAGAGTTTCTGGACTAAGTTAGCATTTGCATAGAATTGTTGAAGCTTGGTACATTTGCTGTATATTTCGGGATACTGTTCTTGTATTTCATTCACTTCTAACGTTCGTGTAGTTTAGTTGAACAAGGCCTTCTTCCGGAGAGAACTCGAGTTTGCTGATGTGTGTCAACCGGAACGAATTAGAATGTAGCTGCAACTGTGGGATTTGTCCTTTTTATCTCTGTTTTTCTTCTTTCTCCTAGTATGCATGTCCATATGAAGGTATTTTTGCACTATATTGTCAAGGGACATCTATCAAGCACACACCTCTCCTAGTGCTTAATTCTCAGTAATTTTTTTTTTTTTGAAGCATTGCATCATCTATTTTTTCTTAAGGCTTAGATTGTCCTTAAGTTTCTTCACCCCTTTGCTTGTGTTGCACACATATTTTGTTTAACCTCTACAGGAATTTTGAATTATACATAAGNGATGTTATTTATGTTCTATGTTTAGGTCTGTACTGTGAGTTTGCTGCACTTATCAGCATGGCCGGTAAAGATGGAAATAGTTCTTCTGCCAGTAAGTAATTGCTTACTTTATATCACAAGGTAGCTAGATTCCCCCAGCGGCGGATCCAGAAATTAGGGCAAAAATAGTTGAAATTTTTTTAACCATATTGCACAAGGTTCTTATATTAAGAATTAAATAAATCATTTGAACAATTGGGAGTTGAGGGCTTTCCTAATTAATTGTCCTTTGACTTGACGCGAAAAAGTAAAATTGAGAATGAGCTTTAGTTATTTTTTTTTTCCGTTTTTATTATTATTAAGAAATATACCAAAAATATTTTACATTTTTTTTTTTGTAATAAGTTATAAACAAGTCATTTTGAAATATAATTCGATAATTTAAGAAAGGCCAAAATGTCATCATTTTTGTTTCTGTTATTTTATAAAGAGTTCCTTATAGATTATCTTCTTATATATAAATATATAATTTTTCACGGTCAACTTCCATCGCTTTATAATTCTATATGTAAATTTCTTAGGATTCGAGATAATCCATATAAATATTGATCTTTATCCAGAACTTTCAATTTTAAACACTTGACTAACTTCAATTGTAAATATATTTTAAAAGTTAATAACACTCATGTATGTTATCATTTTTTATATATGATAAATTAAATTAGTCATATTTTGATAATTTATAATTTGACAGTCATATAGTATATATAAATTAAAATAATTATATCTATCTGATATCTATCAATAATAACTTAATATTATCAATTATAATTGAAAAACAATAAATTTATATATCAAGCTTATAATATAGTCTAAGTACTAAAAATATTGTAACATAATACCGTTGAATCTGACAAGTGATGTGTATCATTTTAAATTAACATAATTATGTTATTTGGTAAAAATTATTTAAAATTTTAAAATAAAAATTTGTATTTATGTCTTTATAAATATTAAATTTTGTCCATTGCAAATGGTGCTGGAAGAGTCATTGTTGACAATTCTCCTGGCATAATGCTAATAATGGACTAGATCAAAATGGCTCAATTAAATTCTAGAGCTTCTGTTTTCTAGAAAAAAAAAATATATCAAACGGCGCAATGCACCTTGGGTCGCTACGGAAACAGCCTCCTTGTATAATTACAAGGGTAAGGTCTGCGTACAATTGACCCCCCAGAGCCCAACCTGTTGGGAATATATTGGGTATGTTGTTGTTGTTGTTGTTGTTGTTGTTGTTGTCTTTATAAATATTAAATATAAATTTTTAATTAACACATATTTACTATATGAATAGTATAGTTTGCACAAAAAAATCCAGCCTAGGCAATTGCCTAGGCTGGACCATATGTAGATCCGCCACTGATTCCCCCCACCCATCGGTTTATATTTTTATTCTTGTGCTTTTTAGTTTTGGTGATACTGATATCATGTGACTCTTGTGTGCAGAGGGTAAGAAAAAGGAAGTGAAAAAGGAGACCGGCCTAGGCCTTTCTAATAAGAAAGATGAAAACTTTGGAGAATGGTACTCTGAGGTAAGAGTATGACCACGTTCCAGTTAATTGAATAATCCTGTGTAGATGTATTCCATTATTACCATCTATCCGTTTGCAATCTGTCTGGTCGCTTGTTTTTAGCAAAGAACATTATCGTTTATTTGAAGGAAAAACTTGGTGGAGGTTAAGAGATTATTGGTTTAATGGGGGAACTGATATGACTTATTCAATTCTCTTTATGTTATGTGTACATTTGCAAGTAGTGTTTCGTCGCTATACTTCTAGATATGTTTCAGTCTTTGTATTGATATCATGTAACATAGACAGACTCTTAAAGATTTCATTGTTGGTTGTATTCTGTTCAGGTTGTTGTTAATGGGGAGATGATTGAATACTATGACATATCTGGCTGTTACATTCTGAGACCATGGGCAATGTCAATCTGGGAGGTCATGCAAGTAAGTATGCATATTTTTATGGGCTTATTTAATAGTAATGTTTTCTTATGATCAAATGGTTTCTTAGAGTTTGAAAAGTATGGAAACACTTGTATATATTTGTAGAAAGCCGCAGTTATTTTCCTCTGGATAAACATGAGTTTCACTTAAGACATTCTCAGGTGTACGCCACACATTGTAGTTTTTTCATATGTAATCAATTTCCCAAGATCAATTGTTTGTTAAGATCTTGATATGATTCCATTTTGCTTATTGATTTAATTGAAGTTTTCAAGTTTTCTATTTCAGCAGTATTTGAATGAAGACTAGCTCCTTACAAAGTTATAGGCATGTTTATATTGTGATTCTATGATCTGCAAGGCAGCCCCAAACTTGACACTCACTCAACTCTCATTTGATATTATTCTGTTTGCTAATTTGTCTCATTATATATGATGTCGTTTGCTAACTTATTTGTTCTTAATTTGCTTTACAGACCTTCTTTGATGCTGAAATCAAGAAAATGAAAATTAAGAACTGCTACTTTCCACTGTTTGTATCATCTAATGTCCTACAAAAAGAGAAGGACCACATCGAGGGGTTTGCCCCTGAGGTGAGATTACATTGCTCTTGGTTCTTATTCATGAACCTTGACTTTCTTGTTGTATGAGTGTGTGTATCATTATGTTATCATTTACATTTACATTTTTGGTAAATTTCTGTTTTCATACTTTGAATGGCAAATATTGCCAGCAGCCTGTTAAAGTCTGCATGGGACTGGCAGTACATCTTTAGTTATGAAGTGTGGTATTGCAGAGTATATCTTCATTAATGAAATGTTTAGGAATATTGTCATATTTATTTTATAACTTGGAATGTTTCCTTGTTTTTTCCTTTGTTGTCTATATGCGTGAGAGAGAAAGAGAGAGAAAGTGATGTTTAGAAATCTTTGGCAGGTTGCATGGGTTACAAAGTCAGGAGAATCTGAGTTGGAGATGCCGATTGCAATCCGTCCAACCAGTGAAACTGTCATGTATCCATATTTCTCCAAGTGGATAAGGGGGCACCGTGACTTGCCCTTGAGACTCAACCAGTGGTGTAATGTTGTTAGATGGGAATTCAGCAATCCCACTCCATTTATAAGGTGCTTATATAGTGATTAGTTTTTGTTTCATGCCCTATTAGCATAGTTGATAGCCGTATAATTGTTTGGCACCTGTAGGAAGTGTTATAACTTTGTTTAGCTGGTGGTTGGTATATCAATAGCCTTGTTCTGTACCTTTTATTCCCTATGTTGTATGATATCAAATATGCTAATATTTATTGAGCATATAGGATAGCTCTTACCTTGTGATGGGAAAAAAGAATTAGAATTTCATGAGAAGAATTTTCCTTCTATTTGTTGTTGACAGTTTGTGATCTTGTAGGAGTCGTGAGTTTCTTTGGCAGGAAGGACACACTGCTTTTGCAACCAAGGAGGAGGCAGATACTGAGGTACTTTTTTCCGCTTATGGATATCCAATGCTAAGATGATCCTTCATGTGAAATGTTTTATATTTTTTTTCACTGACTTTTGTGAACCTGTGAAATTATTGTATTATTATATATATGTATAGTGCAGTACATGAAGAACAAATTGATCTTTATCTGATCCTTGAGTTGTCTCAAAATTAATTATTTGGGTGTATTCGAATAATGTGTTTGCTAATAACTGGTTCCTATACAATGTTATGCTTTATTTGGGTTTTTAAGCTTTTAGTGTAATGCATAATAGAGCTCTTTATATAATTTTCAGGTGCTTGACATTTTGGAACTCTATAGGCGCATATACGAAGAATTCTTGGCTGTTCCAGTCATTAAGGGGAAAAAGAGCGAGCATGAGAAATTTGCTGGTGGACTTTATACGACTACTGTTGAGGTTAAAATGATATGATGTTATTCTTGCAGAATATTTTGTGCTGAGAGAGATCTTTGAAGGGTACTTCTTTACCACATGTCCATATCTTTAAATGTTCGGCTCTTTTACGTGGCAGGCCTTCGTCCCAAACACCGGACGTGGTGTGCAAGGTGCAACATCTCACTGCTTGGGTCAAAATTTTGCAAAAATGTTTGAGATAAATTTTGAGAACGAAAAAGGTGAAAAGGCTATGGTCTGGCAGAATTCCTGGGCATACACCACTAGAACGGTAAATCGTCCTTGTAATTTTATGTATGGTGCTTATACAGAAAGTGACTGAGCCTCTTTCTCATTTATAATTTATGTGGCTGGTCATACGTCAGGGATATGACTATTAAACTTCCTGTCTTTCCTTCAGGGTTTTCTGAGTGAGTGCTTCTGTTCTGGAGGGTTTTCAAAGTACTTGCTCTCTGCTCTTTGTGTATTTCTGTATCTAATATTCTGTAAGATTGATGATTATACGATGACACTATAGTCTATGACAGAGGTTTTGGAATTTAAGGTTCCCTCTGGGTTGAATATAGTTGGATTTTACTTGTTATATAAACCAGCCATACCATAAGCAAATAGAAGTTAGCATTTGAAACTAATTTATGATTTGACATGAACACTTCTTGTTAATTGTGAATTCCTCTGTGTTCTAAATGTTTTACTACAATAAATACTTTATTTGTGCTCACTTCTTTATAAAGTGCCTTCATTGTATCAGGGTACTTTTGCTCAAGTGACTTATACATTTCACCTTTCCAATAGATCTCATATCCCACACCTTTTTCTTGCAATAAATAATTCTTTGGCAGATAGGGGTGATGATAATGGTTCATGGGGATGATAAGGGCTTGGTGCTGCCTCCTAAAGTTGCATCTCTCCAAGTGATTGTAGTGCCCGTGCCTTATAAGGATGCCAACACTCAGGGAATCTTTGATGCATGTGCCGCCACCGTAAAATCTTTGGATGAAGCAGGAATTCGTGCTGAGGCGGATTTCAGAGATAATTATTCACCTGGATGGAAGTACTCTAACTGGGAATTGAAAGGGGTTCCTCTAAGGATTGAAATAGGACCTAAAGACTTGGCCAATAATCAGGTATCCTGATTCTATCAGTCTAAGCAAAGATAACTGAATTATAATATTACAAACACTATTATGAAGTTTAGCATAATTACGAAAGAGTGCAATTATTTTTCAAAACAATCAATACCTTATGATATCATCATTTCCTTCACATTTGTTTTACTTAATAAACGCCTCTCTTGGAGGTGCAATTTGTGAAATAGATAGGAATTTGCAGGAAATATATATAATATTAGGAGATGGTTCTCTCTGGCCCTCTCTCTATCCATATATATAGTGGATCCATTGAGAACCACTCTTAAATTTAGTACGTAGAGATTGATGATCACAACCATCCATTATGTTAGATCCAATGGACATAAACTGGTTAGAAATATGGATATATATCTGTCCCAAATATGCATCACTGAATATGTAAATGTGCATTTTTCAACTTCTAAAGAGTCATATAGTGATTTTCTTTTAAATGCTTATTTTCCTCATTCTTCTCCTTCAAATACTCAGTTTTATTAAAAACCATTTTATATTAATTTGAAGACATTATATTAATAACTTAATCCATTATATCTAAATTCATTTGAACAACTATGATTTAACCTCACGATTCTATTTTGAATATCGGTTCCCCTTGAATGAAATCCTAAATATAGCTTCAAGAATGCCTTTGGTTATTAACCAAATTAAGAATAAGAATATTACCTTAACTATTTCAATCTGCCAATTTGTTGTTATGTCAGGTTCGTGCCGTCCGACGTGACAATTCAGCTAAAATTGACATCCCTATGGCTGATTTGGTGGAAAGAGTGAAGGAGATGCTCAACAACATTCAGCAAAGTCTCTTTGATGTTGCCAAGCAAAAACGAGATGCCTGCATCCAAGTTGTTCGCACATGGGAAGAATTTGTGGAAGCACTTGGTCAGAAGAAGATGATTCTGGCCCCATGGTGCGATGAGGAGGTATGTCATTTGTTCTTCTCTTCACTGACTCTTTTTATCTATGATACTTCTGTTCCAATTAGCTGCCATGAGTTTTGATTTAGTCCACGAGTCATGCGCACCATGATCGGAGTCTATTTTTGTTTAATTGTTTTTATTACTGGGGGATTGATAAGGAGTAGGGATAGTAAAAAAGAGTCGCGGCTGATAATAATGTACGGACTTGCATTATATAATTCTCAATTTTATAAGTAAAAGCAACTAAAGAACTACGCTCGAGGTTATGCTCATTGCTGGAAAGTCAAACTAAAGAGAATGTACTTCCTCCTATTCTTTTTAAATGTCGTTATGTGCTTTAACACATAAATTAAGAAAAAATTTCTTTTCAGCTTTTTTTATGTTTTTTAAGAGTGAACTCATCGTCGCCCACAACTTTCCTCCCAAAACGTGTAATGTATTAGTTAAATGAGGGTAACAATGAAAAAATATGTATAAAAGATCCAAAACGTCATTTATATGATTAATGGTCAATAAACTCAAAATGACAAATAAAAAGAATAGGAGAAAAGAATAGGAGGGAGTAATAAACAACTGATGTATTTCAAAATTTGAAATACTACATGGTCTTATGTCTGTTTTACAGATTTTATCTTCTGGAGATCAACTTGTTGTGCGAATTTGATAGCAGGGTATAAATTGATAACCTAGTATATTCTTAGAGATAAGTGGCCTTTTCGTTCGGATAAGCCTCAAATTTGCCTTTTGTGATTATTGCTAGAATCTAAACAATTAAGTTCATAAATATAGTCTAGTTATCGATGCGAAATGTTTTCCTAGTCTCATTCTCTTATATTTGCTAATTTTTCAATTCCAATAGGCTTAACTTTTTTAAATCAACTGTGTTGTGTGTCATAGGAAGTGGAGAAGGATGTAAAGGCTCGCACGAAAGGAGACATGGGTGCAGCTAAGTCACTGTGTTCTCCATTTGACCAGCCTGAACTCCCAGAAGGTAATTAATAATTATATTCCATTCGCCATTTGAACATTAGTGACGAACTATGAAATCGGGCACTAAGAATTTTGAAAATTGTGGATGATTATATTATATTTATAATTTCTATCATGTTGCAGGCACGTTGTGCTTCGCATCAGGTAAGCCTGCGAAAAAATGGACCTACTGGGGAAGGAGCTACTGATCTTTGTTCTCATTTAGTATATTCATAGTCTGGATTCAAATGGCGATATAATTTGAACTTCAATTTAGTGATTTGGTATATCATACTCATACGGTTTCTGATTACTTGGGACTTTTTGTTAGGACCATATCATTATTGGTTTACTACTGCTTAGTGTGTGTTGGATTTTATTTTATGATTTTGACTGGAACAAAACCGCGAGTGTTTTTTAATCTAATTTTCTATTAGCATGGATTATTAGTATTTTTGTTCTAATTTTTTGTTTGGTCCTTCAATTGGGATTTATAAATTTAATTGTGGGTTTGATGTGACACCTGGCCAGCAAAATATGTTTNTATTGTTTTATAGAATATATTTATTAAACTTATTTTTATTCATTTTATGATATTCAATGACTTTTGTGGAGAAAAATATTAATTGTTCTTGTTTTTATCCATTATGATATTCAATCACTCATGTTATTTTAAAATTTATTCTCATATTAAAGTTTAAATTTACAATTGCATAATCAATTTGAATTCGATTTTTGTTATTGTTACTTGTTAGTCCTACACTTAGTGAACTAACTCGAAATTGGGATTATATTTTTAACAACTATAATATAAATTAACAAAAAAACTTTTGTATGAAGGGAAAATAACTCGAAATTGAGACTTCATTTTTAGCAACTCTACTATAAATTGACAAGAACTTTTGTTTTAAGGGTTTTAACTTGGGCCAAAATTGGGACTACATTTTTAACAACTCTAATATAAATTAACAAAAACCTTTTTGTCAAAATTAACCTTTATAATTGAAATGTATATTTATATTATGAAATATTATAATTTTAATTGAGTTGTTTTTAAATTATGATATTTTAGTTTAAAAATGAATGATTGTAGCATTAGACTCTGTAAATTGTGATAAATTAATATGAGCCTTATTCTAGTTTTCCATAAGCAGATAACTTCTACATTTCAAGCACAACAAAGCTGGAAAAAAAATCAATTATTTCAAATAAAAGAAAGAAAATATATTTTTTTTTTGGTACAAGAAAGGGAGGCGACACAAAGCCTAAATGAGAACTAACCGCGAATAAGACACACCAATTCTATCGTGGCGTGTCTTATTCGCGGTCGGTTCTTATTTATACTTGGTAAAATTAGCTTATGAGCTAGCTGGTAGCTGATGAGTTAGCTTATAGTTTATATGTAATTTTCGAGCTTATAGTTTATAACTTATGACTTATAGCTGAAAAACTAGCTTTATAATAAAAGTGTTTGATAAAATTAGCTGATAAGCTAGTTGAAATAAAAATTTCAACTAGTTTATTTGAAAAGCTACCTAAAGTAGCTTATGAGATAACCTCGAGCTTTTTAAAAAAGTCCGTCCTACCAAACGAGACTTATTTGAATATAGAAATTTATAAACTAACCAAATAAACTATAAGCTTGCTTAATTAGCTACCAAACATAGCCTTAGGCGTTTTGTCGTCTCCCTTTCTTGTACCAAAAAAAAATTATTTTTTTAACCCGTGTTGAAGAGGAGTATCTTACTTTCAGCAGCCTCTTATTTTTTTATTTTTTATTTTTTATTTTTTTTTAATATTTAGTCTACCAATTCGTTTAATATGGCGGGAAATTAAAATCAGGGAACAATTGGAAATTGGGTAATTTTATCCCATCAGCGCCGCCACGTGAATCCCAAGCAAGAGATGGCAGACAAAGAAGAGAAAGAGAAGGAGTTGACGGAGAAGGTGGTGCCGGAGGCGGAGGAGCTGCCCAAGACCATCGTGCGCCGCCTGGTCAAGGAGAAGCTCTCGCACCTCTCCGCCGACGCCGAGATCTCCGTTCTCCGCGACTCTCTCCAGGCATTCTCCGAAAGCGGTCGCATCTTCATACACTACCTCGCCGCCACGTAAGACCCAACGCTCGCGACACGTTCAATCATGTTTTAATCGAGTTAATGTTCATGTATTAGTTTTGTTAGGTCAGGTCTGCATTTGATTCTGCTTGCTCGAATTAATTTTCCTTTTCTTCTTCTTGTTTTTTGTTTTCTCAAGGGGAAATTAGTTCAACCGCACGCGAGCGAAAAGTTGTAAAAAAATTTAATTATTTTGTAGCGTCTGGACTGAGTTCTAATTGGGTTTTTCTCTATTGCGTTCGCTTCATAGGGCTTTTACCCTAAAAAATTGGGTCTTTTTAATAATGTCTTGGATTTCTAAATAGATATGAATGCCGTGTTCTTAGCTGTTAATTTATTGTTCTGGTGAGTTTTAGTAACTTATTATCAAATTTGAATGTTGGCACTCCTATTCATTAGTTACTCTGATGAGATTGAATAGTTCTGCTCGTATGAAATGTTTGACATGCCATATGTTAACTAAGCATCAAGGCATTGAGGTTGTTTGATCAAATCAGTAGCTCAAAAACCAATGTATGGCTTAATATATTCTTTGATGTCTCCAGTGCCAATGATATGTGTAAGGAGTCAAACAGGCAAATCATCAATGCTGAAGACGTGTTCAAGGCCCTGGAGGAAATAGAGTTTCCAGAGTTTATTGAACCTCTCAGACAGTCTCTTGAAGGTTTGGCTCGTGTTCATATTATGCTGTTCTTCCTTACCTACCCTTCGATCAATATTGCTTGCCCTCTTTTCATTCTCTCATATATGTGTTATGTTGTATCTGTTCATCCGTTTGTGTCACATGGAACATGCCGTTAACCAGTTATGTCGGTAATACCTAAAAAAAAAAAAAAAAAGGTGTCATGAATGTAAGGTGCTGAGGTAGATGAGTAAAAATACATGGTTATCATCAATAAAAGGAGATTCTAATCAGGTAGAGGTTTGCAAACTGTTTAGCCTGTTCAATTGGTTCAGTTGCTGGGGATTATATAGGAAATTCATGAATATGATGGACAACAGCATAATGGACGGGATTGTATTCTAGATCCTTTTCAATTAACTGAATCAATGTCATGTTTTAATTGTTGAGTCCTTTGTAAGGTGACAATTTCTGAATTGCGTCAACCAAGTATTCGTGTCGATCTGCTTAATATACATTTCATGTATATAAATATCAAATGTCGGGATTTCAACGCAGTCTCATCATAATGGCTTGGTTAACTAGCTCATAGACGTGCATCTCCATAACAGTAAAGAAGGAAAAGGACAATATTATGTGGCTTGCCAGATTAGCTCGCCTTTTTGTAAGCCAATTGCCCATTAACTAATTTTTCAAAAGATGCTGTTCATTTTACGTTTTGTGCCAACAGGACATGAATCTAAATTGGAAACTGAGAAAAAATTCACTTATGTGATCGTTTTGTTGATTATGGCCACTAGGCCAGTTTAATAATATGCTATCAATGACCAACTTATTGATGTGGTCCTGTAATTATTCACTCAACTTAGATTTTGTGACTTCCATTTCTGCACATTTTTGTGTTTTTGGTGCCCGAGTATTGAAGAACAAATCCAAATTTATTCATTTCAAGTTTTTCGTAAAGAATACTTTCTGCAGCATCCAATAGTGTTTGATGAAGAGCAACTAACTATTCTTATGAACTTAAAAGAATAGGATGCAGATAAGTGATGGCATTGTTGTGCCCGTGGCG